TGACTGAGATATTTCACTCAGCATAATGTCCTCCAGCGTCACCCATTTTGAATAATATTGCATGAGTTCCTTGTTTTTCAATGCAGCGTAGTATTCCATTATGTGAATATATCACAGCTTCTCTATCCATTCATCTGTTAATGGGCACTATAATTTTTAACTAAAGAGTGGCTCTCCCTGGAGCATTCGTGTAGAATCATGTTTATTTTTAGGTTTGCTTTGCTGAAGAGAATTCCTGTTCTTTGTGCTTCACTCACCTTTTTAGTGTGTTTGTGATGGGGCCACAGCTGCATTTGAGAAATGTTCATGCCTTATCAGCCCTGAAGCCAAGAGTATCCAAGACTGCTGTCTGAGCCCAGCAGAGAATGCAGGGTCAGAGAAGCAACATTTAGGGCAGCATGAATTTAAAAACAAGTTGTATTGTGTTTGCAGAATACACAGAGGGCCACAGACAAAGAAATTGTTGCAGTGTAAAGATAATCTGAAAGCAGCTCATGTGTGAGCTCTTCAACATCTTCAAAATAACATTTTGTTTATATGGAGACATCAGAGTTCAAAACCAGTCAGAACAAAGATAAGCTGGGCATGGCACTACTGCCTTGCAGGAAAATAAGGGCTCAACTGTTCAAGAATTGAAATGGTGACAGTGCTGTGTGCTGAAGCGTGGAGTGAGGATACTAACAGCTGGCTGCCTCTGTTCCTGTTCATGCACGCCACCAGCAGCCTTACTTACTCAGTGTTGGAAACATTTCTGAGAGTGGGAGTCAGGGAGGCTGCTGGTGGCGTGCGTGAACGGGAACAGAGATGTTGAAGAGCAACAAGTCATGAAATAAAACCACCTACCCATGTCTTACTCCTGCTATTGCTTTGGGAAGCTCAAGTTGGGAACAGATGAAGAGGATTGTTACAGTTATTGGAAGGTGGCCTGTGTTTGGCCTACATGCTTTCTGCTCAGGGCCTGTCCTGCCACTGGGACATGGGCCTTGCCTTTTCTGGAGCTCTCTGCTGTCCCTCTAAAGCTCTGAAAACCCTTTCATTTGAATGATTAGACGCCAAGGTTGAATTGCATCAATCTTATGTGACTTTAAGAATGTGGACTCCCCCTCCCCCCCCAACCCCAGGTTAGTTGTCTGACATCACAGCCACTTAAGCTCATTTGTCCTGAGCACAGTTTGTGAAATTGTGGGAAGCTGTTTAATAAAAGAAAACTGTTCTCACTAGAGAAAGATCTTCTGTCCTCGACTGACATTGCCACAGAGGGACTACTCAGCCTGTCATCATTTTTTTCGAGTGTCACTCACCCTGTTTCTGTTGCAGGTTTCCGACTGTGGCTGTCAGCATCGGATTTGCTGTGAATCAAGAGGTACCTGGCATTCACCCTTCCTCCCTCTGTCCTAAAAGGCCAATGATCATATCCTCCTTTGTGCTCCAACTCTGGGCTCTTTTTCACCTCACCATATGGCTCTAGGCATGACTAGAGAATCCAATTATGTGTTTTTCAAACTTGAAAGGTAAGATAAGGAAAATAAGAAATCTCAGATAATTTCTGTGGAGGTGTGTGCCAAGGCCTGAAAGTTTGTGTGCCTCGCTCAGTGTCCAGAGGGGTACGAAGCATAAACAGGGTACAGATTTGATCTCCATTCTGAATGTACCAAACAAGAACAAAACAATGTCTTCATTTTAGAGAACTCGTTTACTCTTTGAGGTTTTTTCTCAGATTTTTTTTATTTTAAAGAAAGTTTACAGAGACTTTGGATTTCCATTCATCCATTATTGCACACTTTCCTCCCTGCCCACCCCACCCCCTCAATTCACTTTTCTCTTTGGAAAAAAAAAATTCGTATACAATCCTCCCTCCCCAGTCCACTCCATTATGCAGCTTTCATTCTGGACTCTTGTCATGACAATAATACCTAATCATATATTCCTCCTAAACAGTTCTCTCCCGCATCTGTTTCAATGCAGTATACACAATTTATCCCCTCTTAGTTTCTCCCCAACCCTGATGTCACTCCTGCTTTACAACAGTGGCATTATGCAGTATTTGTCCTTTTGTGACTGAGATATTTCACTCAGCATAATATCCTCCAGGGTCACCCATTTGGCATTTTGTATAATATTTCATTAGTTCCTTGTTTTTCACGCAGCATAATATTCCATTGGGTGAATATACAAAAGCTTCTCTATCCATTTGCTTGTTGATGGTCACTTGGGCTGTTTCCAACTCTTTGCTATTATGAACAAAGCTGCAATAAACATGGGTGAGCATAAATCTGTTTGGGTAGTAGTTCTGGTTTCTTTAGGGTATATTCCCAGTAATGGAAATTCTCGGTCAAATGGTATTTCTATTTGCAAATTTTTGAGAAAGCACCATACTGCCTTCCATAGTGGTTGCATAATTTTACACTCCCAACAAAAGTGAATAAGGGTTCCAGTTTCTCTGCAACCTCACAGCAGTTGTTGTTGGCTGTTCTGTTAAATTTTGCTATTATTACTGGGGTGAGATGATATCTCATAGTTATTTAGAGCTCTTTTACTCTTGATCTGTCAGTTGTTCTTTCTCTCCCTTTAGTTATTGCTGTGAGATTGTGGTCGTTACAGGCATTTCATAGATCCTGTAGATTAAGCAGTGTCATAAAGCCATCATCCTGTTGTCATTAAGTTGGTTTGGATTCATGGTGACCCTCCATCTTGTTTCCAAGGCTGTAGATCTTCCTGGGAGAAGAATACTTCATCATTCTCCTTTCAGTTAGCAACTCAGTCAGTAACTCACTATACCCATTGGACTCTTATGACTAGCATAAAAGGTACAGGACTGAGATTTAAACTTTATTAATCCATTTAAGTGATAATCCTTGGAAAAGCCTTCAGTTCTTTGTACTTCCTCCAGGTTTATTTAAAAAGGACTGAGGGCTCAATGTTTTTAAAAAATGGCCCTCCTTTAGAATAATATTTTTAGTTTACTCTCAAAATTAATATTTTAAAACACATAAACAAAACAACTGGTGAAGAATTAGAGAAGTCATACCCACGTAAGAGTGTTCAAGCTAAAGAAAAGCAGGAGTTGTAATGCTGATGTTTGGGACCCGGCTCCTCTGTTCAGCATGTCACTGAGATGAATTAGTGTAGGAAGTGGAGTGTTTATCTTCAGTGGGCCAATGCTTTCAAGCCCACAGTACAGCAGACTTGAGGTGGGATAACTCTCGGAATGATGTATGGGATGAGACGGCTCATGGTCCAACCCTCTCTTGACTGTGTCTCAGTGATGCCATTTTACCTTTCTGCCAGCCTGAGCACCAGATCCTGCCACCTATCCCATAAGCATAGGATCAGGTTTGAGTCCCCCACAGGCTCAGTCATCAATTCACCACTAGAATGGGCCTGGATTTGAGAATTGCTTTAAACCCAGGACATGGGAACAGGGGTAGTTAAACATTGCCAGACAGTCATGAGCTCTCCATCACCAGTGCCTGAGTGACCCCTCCAGAAGCAGGCCTGGCTTTGCAGACTGAAAGGTCCACTCTGGTAGAGTGAGATACACCCCAGAGGTGGCCAAGGCCCTCCTCAGGCATTTGCTTGAGTGGGCATCTTCATTTTCCAGAGAATTCAATTCTTGGCTAACCGCAGAGCCAATTACACATGCTGTTGTTAACCAGGAGCAGTGAATAGTAGTAGAGAAAAGATAGTGAGTGCTCCTAAGGTGATGTTTCCTCTGTCCTCGTCCTTTTACCTTTCTCTTGCTGCGAGGTTGTTGTCTGTGCTTTCATCCTTACTGTCAAGTTGGAATTGACTTGTGTTTGACCCTTTGTTGCGTTTCCAGGTCTGTTAGTTGCACAGGAGGAAATTGCCTGTCTGTTTTCTATGAAGTCTTTGGTGGATTCAGACTACCAGGCAGGCTCAGGCTTTGAGTTAGTTAGTTGCACAACTTACTAAGGACGAATACCATCAGAACTCTCTGAGGAAAAGGAAAAAGTGAAGCCTTCCTAAAGAGTTGGCTATTTTAATGACTGTTGATTGCAAATGCTTGGTTATGAAATTAATTTTATGTAATTTTTAATATAGTCATTTAAAAAAAGAAAGTTGGTTTTGTCCAGATCTAATTTTGAATCAACTCACTTTAGTTTTTTGAAGGCCTTTTTAGAAGGTAATTTCTGGTGCAGTGTCACTGAGTTCATCTAGACACTTGGAGAAGCTTTCATCTTAGAGAAGCTACACTGTGTTTTATGACGAAAGAGCAACCACATTTGTTTTGTGTCACAGCTGGAATTCGGTGTGATCTACCACTGCATGGAGGAGCAGCTCTACACTGGGCGATGCGGTCAGGGTGCTTTCTGTAATGGCCAGCAGCTCCAGGCCTCCAGGGAGACAGGTGAGCATTTTGCTGCTTCTTGTTGCTGTTGCTAGGTACCTTTGAGAGGCCTACAATGTTGAGCAACTCTATGAATAACAGCTCAAAGACTGCCCTGTCCTTCACAGCCTCTGCCTTGCCTGAGCCTGTTGTGGTCCAAATCATTGAGGGTCGGTCTCTCTTTTGCTGATCCTCTGCTTTCCCAAACATGTCTTTTTCCAAAGATTGGCTCCTCCTCACAACATGCCCAAATCATGCTGCTTTCTCATGTTATTTTTTTATTTTATTTTTTTAAAATTTTATTCGTTTTAATGAACATTTACAGGGATTTTGGGTTTTCATTCCTTCATTGCTGCACCATTCTCTCTACCCTCCTCCACAGTTTGTTCTTCTTCCCCGCCATCTGAATG